TGTAGTACCTAGCCGCCTGCGCTGCTGGTTAGTACCCTTCAGTCCCTTATGTTCTCTTTTGACGTGTCTCGGGAGCGATAACTGCCTAATTCGAGTGCTTCTAATGACTCCCGCACATTCCCGAGACTGTCTTATCACAAACGGAAATTACTAACTCTAGATTCTTGCACAAGACCCGCCAGACCCGAAGCCGCTCCTCGAGTACAGCGTGCAGCGACGCGCCGTATGGGCCGAGACGATGCCGCGCTCGAGGCAGATCCTCAGCAACATCCGACTGAAGATCGCACAGCAGAACATGGCGATGAACAACAGTTTGTTTTACAAGTTTTCCGGAAACCTGTGGCAGAACACCCTCCCAACCTACACGAGTTCGGCTATGGGGTCCGGGCACTATAACCATATGCAAATCAAGGGTGCCGAATACGGCCGGCAGGCTTCTGCTATAGGAAGCGAGATCAGCGGCTCGCCGGCATTTGTTGCTGACGAGTTGGAGAGGCGGTGGAGGGCCGTTGAGTGAGCAGCTCTGCTACGTTTGAGATTTAAGTCTCCTCCCTTGAGTGACTTAAGACATGATAACGCGCATGTAAGATGCTGATAGGTAAATGCACTATCGCTTCAAGACAACTGGGAGGGCTTATCATGTACGTACCTAGAAGTTCAGCTTACCATAGGTAGATTAGACCAGCATAATAGAGTAGAAATTATCAACCAACATTTGCTCGCTAACATACGTAGATGAGATATATGAAGTATCGTGAAGTAATAATCAAAGGGAAGGAAATCCATTTATGCCCGCTTCTTCTGTGCCGCATCCTCCCCGATAAGCTTCATAATCTCCGGCATACGAAACTTGTGCCAGCTCACAGCATCAACTATCCATTCACCAAAGGTATGCCCGAACCACGCCGATCGCGCAAGCCCACCATACCAGAACCAATCCGGCCGTCCAAAGAAGCTCCGCAGCCACCCGGGGCGCTCAGGGCGCAGTGAGTCCGCGACCAGCCTCTTCGCGAACGTCGTCGTGTCCATCGTGCTGCTATTCTGGCTGAACACGAGGCGCCACTCGAAGATGTGCTTGACTCTCTCATAGAGGCTACCCTCAGGCAGGGCGCGGTGGCCCTGGCTCGCCGTGTTGCTGCGCACGGTGCCCGTCATTGAGACCATGACGCGCACACCGAAGGGCGCGAGCTCGAGCCGCAGCGTGCGCGAGTAGGCGCTGACGGCGGCCTTGCTGGCGCAGTAGACGGAGCCGAACAGGTAGGGCCCGATGGAGGACAGCGACGAGATGTTGACGATCAGGCCCCGCGCGGCCATCAGCTGGTCGATGAAGGCCTGCACCATGGCCATGATGGAGAAGACGTTGGTCTCGAACGTCGCGCGCACGTCGGGGAGCGAGATGTCCAGCGCCGGGTGCGTGTGCGTGCGGCCCCTGTCACAGTCTCCGTTGAGCAGGCAGGTCGCGAAGAAAGGGAGCCAACCTCTCGCTCTGCTCCCATAGCGCCGTTGGGAAGGGGGGAAGATGGGTAGATAGCCTGGGAGGCGGCGGGCTACTCACGCATTGTTCACGAGGATGTCCAGCTTGCCGCCGTTGATCTTGGCGACTTCGTCGTGGCACTTCTTGATGCTTTCGGCGTCGGTGACGTCGAGCGCCACAGTGCTCATGCCCAGCTCTGCGAGCTCCGCAAGGACCTCAGGCCGGCGCGCTGTGGCGATGACGTGCAGCCCTGGAGAGACATGGCCCTGTTAGAAAAGCGGCGTTCATGGCACACGAAGTACTTCATCTAGTTAGCGGGTCGGGCGGCTGCACCTTGTCTTTGGTATTCAAGGCATAGACTGTGTCCTATGCCACCCGGCGTACAGCTACAATTAATTGGTGAGTAGCGTTAGCGGTTGTCCACTGTCCTACGCGTATGTCTCGAGTATGAGGGATATGTAGGTAGCACAACATTATCTTACCCAGTCACGAGCACCGTCTTCTGGCCTGGCCTAGGTCCCATTGTATCGCAGTAAAAGCCACTTGAGGACAAATCGGTCGAAGGTGAAGCGATCATTTCTGTAACATTAAATAGATCGAATAGGTCCGGGGTGTTGATAAACAGCCCCGCCAATCTATACAAAATAGGTACCTTGTCCCAGGGGTTAATCTGCGGGGCACCTAAGTAGCTCTAGGTACCTCACGTGAGAGCCCCTACGTGTATTATCAGCACTATATTATATACATAAGGTATGTAGGTAGCTCTGCTTGTTGTTGCCTTCAGGCCAATCGATTCATGCTAAGGACTCAAGGGAACGCTTCAAAGGGAACGCTTCAGGCAGCACAGATATTTGTTTTGATGACACGAAAAATAATATATTCTCTGTGTTTTGCAGAGAAATCGAATATGATCTGTCTACAAAGGCACTGTGTCGCCGCCACAAATGAAAACAACAGTGATAAGTGAGAAAAAAAGGGGGCACAGAAAAGAGGTAAGGGCACACACGCATTATTTATTTACTTGGATTGAGTAAGTACCTGTGCTTCATTCAATGAAGGTGTATCTTGTCTATTCTATCTAGTATCGACATCGAACCGATGACCTTTTCCACCCATTACATACTCCCCCGACTTTCACGCTGGGGTTTCTCCTATTATCACTACTAGCCGCGCCAAACGTAGGGTGCGTATTAACAACGTCTATCAAGATGCTCGTGCGCAGAAGAAGGGGAATGATGTAAAAGGTGTTATCTCACAGGCTGCCTTTTTAAGCCTCAATGTGAGTTGAGTTCCCGTGTTCCCGCCCGTCGCAGAATAACGTGACAATCTAACTAGGGTGACTTCTCTATCCCTTAAGTTATTCATTACACAATCGCTTTCCTAGAGCAGATATACACTCTACATTCATGAACCTCAATGCGATCCCCTGATATAGACTGAAACTCAGATTTCGTCAGCAGCTGCGATTTTATCATGGAAGCCCCGGCACGTATCGCTTCTTTCTATATACGATGCCCTTATGCACCTTACCCCCTATCGCCGGGATACCGGAGGACATACTCCAGTAAACATGTAAGTCTTGTCCCTCCTGGAATTAATATATTGGGCTGGCATCTGTGTATCACCCTGTGACAAAAATTGCAATACTCACGACGCTTATTTAGCTATCAATAGCTTGCAATCAACGGACAGTGGCCTTGGAAGTGTGCATAACTAGACACTAACGACGCCAGCTTAGTACACTACTTCCTACCGCTCTTCATTTCACGCAAAACACTCCAGGCTTTTATGACAACCATATTCAAGATGAGTCGACGCCATGAGAGATATATTGAGTCAGTTCCCCAACCACCTCGACACATGAGGGGCTCTCCTCCATCTCCCAGTGGCCCAGCAGACCACTCAGTCAGACCCCTTGACCAAAACAGACATTCAAGAAGCAGTATTACTAACATCCTAGATATATAGACTCGTGTGGCCCACTATGTCCATGTAAGTCTACTTCACCTATAGCTAACAAACTCAGACTGAAACTAAGTTACGTTTAGTACCCACCTGGAATGGAGCCCCTGGATATCTTTGACCCCTATCCTGGCAATACTTATCTAGGATCCCTATCGACAGATAGTAGGACCTGGGAGGAACGTAAGCGTCAACTGAGAGCCCGCATTAGTATCGATGATCAATATGAGGATGAGTATGAGCATTGGGACGACGGACAGGCCCTACGAGGAGTCAGCAGTTCTCCAGTGAGTATGGTCATATTCACAGAATGGATTGGCAGCCATGGCAAATATTTTTCCGGGTCCGATAGAATCACCGAAATTGCTGGGAGACTTCACCACGCTTTAAAAGCCTTCTTAGGGTTGTTTGCAGAACTTGAGGATGATCATGAGAAGGGCAGGATTCCCCCCGATACCGAGATGGAACAGCAGTTCCGAAGCGGCCTTGCCGTACAAAGTCACTTCAATTCTATTGTATCCGGATACAAGAGTTCATTTAAACCAATAACGCACTGCTCTTCATCAGAAATGGACAGTGCACAAGAGCTTATTGAAACGATGTTCTGGCGTGACTATAAACAATGGAAGGGGTTCTTGGGGCATGTCTTCTGTTGGATCAGCAAGCGGTACCGCGCGCATAGTTAGATTTGGCCTTGAAGATGGTACATATTGAGCGATTACTGCACAATTAACTCCCCATGTTAAGTTGACCTCGATCGTTACAGATTAGGCGAAGGGGGAGGCAGGAGACAGATAGTAGATCTACTGACGAGATGAGGCACTTGAAACCTCATAACTCCGCTACTGGCCTTATTACAATACTGCAATTTGTTCTTATGTGTACGGGAAGAAGAAGGAGAAGGAAGAAGATAAATTAAAGGGGGCTTACAATTAAGCTGTTCTTCATCTTCTTTTTCACCATCCTTTGGTTTTTAATGATTAACCTGATAGATCCTAGTCTTGGCCCCTTTACTCAACTTGTAGGGGAGTCTATAAAATGGATTCTGTGGCATTCACCCCGGTATTGTTATGCTATAAGGCGGCGTAGTTCAGAGACAGCATTGTGGATTTCATCCTACCTCGTTAAAATTTGAACTGCACGCACACATACAGTTAGAAACCTAACGAGTGGTGGCACGGTAAACCTGTCTTATTAGCTATACTAGATTTCACTCTAGAACACACTTATTAACTAGGCAAGAACCTAGATCTCACAGATTATAGTTAAGTAGCCTGTCTCATTATCGCCGAATGGAGGTGATTACTAGAATACTTCTCCATTTAAGATTAGATAGGATCATTAGGCATGTTACGTATACTCTACTACACTAGGAAAGTCGGAAATAGAGCTTCCCTACTCAACTACGGCTTAAAAAGTAAGTCAAAATAAATGAATATACACAGGTATATTGTAAGTGTAATTGATAATGATTGAATTCTTTACGGATATAAAATTTCTAGTTGCTTTCCTGCTGACTAACACTCTTTGTTACATAATAGCTCATTTGCAGTCCACAAAACATGGTGAGATGGCCGAGTGGTTATGGCGCCGTGTTCAGGAACACCATTAACAATACCATCATCCGATGTATTAGGTATTATGAGCAATCTTCGCGGTGGAGCAATCCGCGTAAGTTCGAGTCCCACTCTCATCAACATTTTTCTCTGTAATAGAGATTATTTTATCTTTTAGTGTTCCCCCCTCTCTCGCGTGTATTCATACAGAGAGGACGAAGGGATCCCCATATTCTACTAAGGTTGAGGTAACCATCCACCTGCTCGATAGATCCGCTAAAGCATTATATGGGTGAGCTTATACTTTGGAATCTCTTTGCCTAAATCTGGTCTTTTTGTCATGTTTTCCAATTTTACTCGCCTAATTTGCCCCCGGGTGATAAAGTATCACTTGTCCTAATCTTCCTTTTTAAGCGAACTCGATGATAAACTTTCTATCCCTATACATACAGTGTTAATCTTGTGTCCGCTATATCATTGCGGTTGTCTAACAGCGAGTCCTACGTATGTCCTCGGGTAGTTGACATGGAAACTCCCTTCTTTACATGGGTCTTGCCTTGCTTTACCGCCCTTAAAAATCATCGAGGGAGAGGCGAAAATTTTGTGTTACAAACAATAACTCTGTCCTCTTCGATATTTTGGCTGATATTTACTTTATATGGTTCGCTCTGCCTTACGCTCTATTATGGCCAACCCAGAGAGGGACTGGCAGGAGGTGACTACTCTATCCTTAAGCCAGTAAAGAGCACAAAAGGATTCGTCTTGCGACTCATCAGAGAAGTATTCATTTATTCTCTCGTGTATGTGTAATTAGTCTTCTTCGTAGTTTCTCCCTTCTCCGAGCTTCAGCTGCCTAGTTTCGTAAGGCCGATGTCTATGGCGTACCGTGGCTTGCTACATTCTAGTCTTTCACCCTCTACAGCTTTCTAAAGGGATGTCCTTACTAAGATCTCATATTGAAGCTAGCTGCTCCATGGCGGCCAAAAGCCGCCCTAGTAACCCTAGGGTAACCTCTGGATCCTGATATTAGGCGAGGGCTACCGGGCAAAGGAATGAGCAGTGAGGGGTAGGGGGGGTTCTTTTAGGACGGAGGGTCAGAAGAAAGAAGACCAGCTATTTGAGTAATTAGATAACAACAATATAAGCGTGTAAACAATAAGTAGGGGCCAATGCTGTTACAGTACTAGACATTAGTAAGTGAGTAGTGTGATCTTGTAGGCTAGTGTGCCTAGGAACCTAGCACGTTTATAGGAGGGTTGAAGAAAATAAAACATATTATATAGTGTTACATGGTTGCCATTAGTGCAAATTGCCATAGAATTGAGGATCTGCAGTTAAGCAATGAATTATACATGAATTGCGTTAGGCTAGGGAAATACCATATTTTGCTAAATACAAATTGGTACGGTCAAGGCTCGGGAGAGATCGTGCTTCGTAGCATCCAAGTCATGATATCAATCCGAACTACCAAGTTGAGCCTTTTCAATATTATCATAGAACAACCACACGGGCATTTACCAAAGTCGGTATTATATAAGAACATAAATGAAACGTGAAATTCACTATGATAAAAGAATCGTCTATGCTTCATCGGAAAAGGAGTCTCACTTGACGAATCACGCCCGCATAATTATTCATTGAACACTAATTATTACGTATTTCCAGGACTTTCATGACGCCGTCCGCTTAGACGACCACCCAGACCACTTACATAATCCTCAAACACTCCTACCCCTTAACCATAGTAGCAACGGTCTCCTCAACCGAGATCGGCTTTAGCCCAACGCGATCTAATAGCTTCTCCAGCATCGGGTCGTCAACAAGGGCCTCTCCAGCCTCAAGCGCCTCGTACGTGCCAGCCCACCACTCAACGTTAGGTCTCGGCATCCCGCGTTCCTCAACATAATACCTCTCGTGTTCCTGACGCCCGACAATCTTAACCTCGACCTCCCTCCCCCTAGCCTTCCCTACGAGCCAGGCGATCTCCGCGACCGTCTTCGCAGTCGCAGGGCGTGTAGACAAGTAAAACGTCCTGCTCACGAACTCCCCATCGCCGGAGGCGAGCACGAGCGCGCTCGCGACGCCTAGGTCGTGGATCGCCGACCAGGAGATCCCGCCATCGCCGGCCAGCGGCACGACGTCCCGCTCGCCGCGCGCGTGGCCGGCGTCGTAGCTCCCGAGGTACAGTGGCCAGGACTCGTTGTACAGCCCCTCTCGCAGGATCGTGACGTCGACGCTGCCGTCCAGGGCGCGGAGATACGCCTCGGTGCGCAGGTGCGCGCGCATCACGCCGGCCTTGCTCGTGCTCCCCACGCCCCCCTCTCCGGCGGAGGGCGAGAACGCGTAGGCCAGGCTCGAGTACACGATCCACTTCACGCCAGCCCCCACGGCCGCGTCGATGGCGCCCTTGTGGTGGCTCTCGCGCCCTCTGTTTCCGGCGGCGGCGTCAGCTGCGGTGGCGGTGCCGTCGAAGTCCATCGCGACGCCAAAATCGAGCGCGATGTTCGGCGTCGAGACGAGGAAGAACCTCTCCACGCCTTCGAGGGCGCGCGCGAACGTCTCGGGCTCTTCGAACCGCGCGTGGCGAACTTGCACGCCGGTTGCGGCTAGTTTGGCCCAGGTCTGCGAGTCTGGCGTCGACGATGTCAGGGCGACGATGTCCTCAGGTGGCGCGAGCTTGTACGTCAGAAGAGCAGCGAGCGTAGCACCGCCCAGTTTACCGGATGCGCCGACAATTGCTATTTTCGCCATTGCACTATGTGTATTCTTGCGTGAACAAGGAGGATTGCTGATCTGCTATTAAAGGGGCTGGTTATCGAGATGAGAGAAGCGCGTGGCGTGATGATTTGGTTCTCCAACCGATTAAAAACAGCGCAATCCCCCCTATATATACTACTTCCTAAACATTCTTGCCAGGTATTGGATTAATCAGAACTCCACCATTTAGTCACCCCAGGGAGACTGTTAAGATACAGACATGCATCTTAAGTGCAGAGGTCATCGCGGCCGGTCAATTGATAATCCCATGATGAGATAAGTGATTTATAAACTACCAGTTCAGGAAACAAACCGCGAACCATGAGTTAGCGGCTAAAGTTAGTGGGGCTCCACGCTACCTACCACGCCCAACAGCCTACGACTTAGGTATCGAGTTACCTAGACTAGTCTAGATAAAAAAGTCTTGACACTAGATAGATATGTCATACGTCGCCACCTTAGCTAATTCTTCGACCTGATTATCAGGAATTGATTGAAATAGATCGATGGTTATGCACTCAATCCTTGCAATATACTCGCTGCTAGTAGTGTTGGGGGACTCGTTCTTGGCAGAGGAGTGTTTTACCTATCTGATATGTACGACTTGGTAGGTAATAACATCGTGAACTCGAGATAAGCAAGTAACACATGCTATCATAGGTAAATATTCACTGATACTCCTAGCCGACAGAATTCCTCTCATAAATGTAAAGTCAATGTTGTAGGAATAAATGACCTGTGTTTTATATGGTAAAGGGATTGAATCGAGTGTATTATTGTTAATTGAGTGCCATTTATAAGTACCTCGGCACATGGGAGACCTTATGTTTTAGGCCATTTATATAGGCTGCATGTTAATATGGCTTTACACAATCGATTGTGTACAGCAGGGCTAAAGCAGAATATAATTTTTGTAATTATACGACGCTATTGTTATTTTCTATTTAAAAAAGAATTTTTATATAATATATATATAAAGTTTGTATAGAATTTGCTAACATTATGAGGACTCGATTACTATAAAGATTGCACACTAGTTTCAGAGTTTCTTAATAATTGAATAATTCATGGCCGAGTACATGGTCAACTCTTAATCAGTAGGGTACAGTACCATGGCAGAGCTGGAGAATGAGCCTTCTTCGTCCTCAGCTTGAATGACCTCGGTACCTATGACCTCAAACTTGAGGTGGTCATAGAGGAGCTGTCCCATTGGGCTTGCGCAGAGAGTTAAAGGCCAACCTTTCTCGGACGCCGCACTGGTCCCCCAACGTACCATCATCGTGGCAACGCCTTGGCGTCTGAAATCCGGAAGAACCGTAAGCACAGAGAGCGTGATTTGCTCCTCGCCCCATTTATGAAAAAGCCCATGACGCATATAGCGTTTGCTGGCCACCTGTATGAAGGCTTCGACGTGTTTTTTATTCGAGTCCTTTCGTTGGCCTAGGCCACGATCTGACAGAAGAGAGTTAGGCGCGTGCTCGTAAACTAAACCGAATTAATGGGGGTCTTGCCTAGTTGGGGTGCGTTCACCAGCACATCAATGTTCCAAACAGCGAGAGCCATTGGCTTAGACGGTGCATCTCGGACTGCTGCGGCGTGCTCTGCAGGTACCGCGACATGGACCAGGTATTTGTTCGAGTTGTCCAGGTAGTACTCATACTCCTTTCTCAGCCATGTGAAGTAGTCTTCTACGTACTTGAATCGATCAGGATAGCAGTAATTATCCATGGGCTCCTCCAAGAACCCGTCTATGTGGATTTGGGTGATGCTGTCCAGGTCATCCTTGTTAACCTCTCTGATGTCGTATTTTCTAACTGGGGGATGAGGCGGGAAGTCATCCATATTTAGCTTGAGTGATTTGATATGTAAATGAGTCACGAATGAGGCTGACATCGAAAGGTACTATTTCATAGGTTAACCGATTTCCACATGTGTATATATACATATAGCCTACGTATGTCTATATTTTATTGTGATAAGTCATACCAACCTCTCAAATATACATGATTACTGTATTAAGCTAGCGGAATATCCATGGAATAAGGTTGTCGCGCCCTAGGGAGGGCTAGGTATACCAATACTGACAACCCTATTTTTCTCCCACTTTTGCTCTTAGTTTTTTTTTTTTGTTTTCAGATTTGCAAATAGCAAATAAAGCAATAAATCAATTAAGCAAATATATATATTATCATATAAAAACATAAAATATAATGCTTAGTTTTAATTTTTTTGTTATGTTAATTTTATAAATAAAATAATAATAAAATACGCGGCCGAGCTGCCGGCTATATAACCGGACTAGCAACTTAGCTTTCGACGCTTTTTTTTAATAGGAAAAAAAAGGAGAAAACAAAGCAGAAAAATGAATTGTTATTGTTGTCGA